CCCGAGGAGTTGTCCCTGCCCGGAACGCCGGGGACTCCGCGGCCCGTCCGTCTCCCAAAGGGAGATCGGCGGGGGACGGGAAGCCTAGGGCGTGGGAAGGCTCCGGGCTCTTTGCGGGAAGGCTTTGCCGCAAGCACAGGCTGTCCCGAGAGGGGCTGTGCTGTGCCTGGTTTGTAGAGCAGACAAGAGAAGTTTTGTGCTGAGAGGCAGCTAGCTCAGCTCTGATCTTCCCTTCCTTAGCAGTCCCCGGCTTTCTCAGCTTAGGTCTTCTGAAGAGTCTGAAGGTGGTAGGAGGAGCTGTTCATATCACCCGTGAAATACTAGGAACCTACGGCAAACAAGGGTGATGGGATATCAGCCTACAGAGGTGATGGAGTTCAGACCTGGAACTGAACCAGGTAGTTTATTTGTCAAGTTTAGATTCTGAATTCCTTTGGGCAAGGACTATGTTACTGCACGTGGCACATCTTACAAAATGGCTTGGTTTGAGGTTTCAGGGAGCTATAACATTTAGCTACAATGAGCATCAGAACTTGAGAAGTTCACCTACAAAGAATTTGAGGGTCATTTACTAGAACATAAATTAGTTTGCTCTTTCCCCTGACTGGGATTGATTGTATTTTCTGCATATGAACTATGCCCACTGGTAAGATTGAGCTCACATTAAAGTGGCTTCTTGACAAAGTATTAATAGGATTGCTGCTCTTTTTGGTCTCCTATTTTAATCATCCTTCAAGTACTTAACATTTCTTAGTGATACGTTTTAACAAATTTAGCTTGAAATGGCTGATAAATTCAAAAGTTGCAGGAAATAGGACTGTAGGAGTTGTAGGAGTGGGATGGGCAGAGGTAGGATTGCTTTCTAACTGCATAAACCTTGTTTCTTTAAGAAAGTGTTACGAAATGCTTTTTTTTTTTTACTTAAGGTAGAATCAGTTGATACTATTTGCAGATTTTTAAATGGTGTAGTCTGTAATAATACCTTTTGGAAAAAAGTAATTGGTACATTAAGCTGTGCAGAATATGAACTTTGAAACTGAAGTATAAGAGTGTATTGGCAGTGTTCACATCTGTAGTCATAAAACAAGCATTAATGTGCAAAGAGTCTGCTGATACCTCTTTATATATTGGTTTAAGTAACAGAACACATACCTTAATTCTTTTGTTGACTATGTCTAATAAGTTCATCAGTTTCAAAGCTGTTTGACTTTGTTGCTTATCTTGCTCCATCCCATCCAGGATCTGAGATTAGAATGCTGAAGTATTGAAGGAGGTCTGAATATGTGCTAACATAATAAATGTGGCTTACGTTAGACACTGGAACATTTAATCAGGCATACTTGACAGTAATAGAACTAAGGTTCTGTTGAAATAAGCAATCTGCTGGAGATAATGGTTTGCTGAATAGTATTATAATTAGCTGGCTGGAGGATTCTTTACAGAAAAAATCTCTACTTACAAACAAAGGGAAGGTTTCTATTTGCAGAGTATTTTTCTTAGTAGGCTATTTATAGTGTATTTTGTCTGCAAATTAGAAGAGTGCTTTTATAATTGATCTTCAGTGACTTGCAGCAGAACAAGGTAGTAGAACTTAATTTTAGAATCTAAGAGCTCTGTGGGAACAAAAATACAGGCAATCCCATTTTGAAGCTGCAGTGTACTCTTTTTAGCGTCACAGAGTTGAGTATAAAGAAAAGCGTGTCTTCAGAGTCTGGTTTAAATAAGAGATGGAAAGATAAAAAAATGTTGATTTACTCTTGGGAAAGATCTTTTAAATGCTGGTATGCTCCAGGAATATACGAATGTTTTACAAGTTTTGCATACTGAGGGAAAAAAAAGTATTCCGGCTACCTCAGTGAACCTAACATCCTTGTCTCTGAACAGGAATTTCTCAGACTCCAAACAGGAGTTAAGCATTTCCAGAAACATTACTGGAAGTCTTCTGGAAAGGAAGTCATAACTAGATAAAAGACAATGCCTAAAATGAAAGACTTTTGTCTAAATGCATGCTAATGCTTCAGGAAATTGCAGAGTAAAAACTTTCACTGCTCTCAGTTGTTTTGGTCCTTTAGTTCTAAATATGAGGTGTTAGAACAAGACAAGTCTGTAGCCTTGCCCAGTCTCTTTATACCAGGGTTACTCAGCCTCTCCCTGTTTTCCATGCCGGTTTCTGGTCCAACGTACTAAATGCGTACCGAGGGCACTGAAAATACACCCATGGCTTCCTAATGCTTGCACTTGGATCACTGTTAAGCTGTGGTCCAGCTTTCAGTGTTGCTCAGTGTTGACTTATATAGCAGGATCTCACTGGGCTTGGAGTACTGAGGACACTCTGCTTTCTAAAGGGCTGCAGAAAAGGATGCAGAGAGCAACAGTAAGATGGCTATATCTGTGAAACCACTGAAGTCTGTGGGATTCTGTCTACTTAAATATCTGTCACCTCATTTACTTGCCAATATCAGTGTCTAGCCATAGCTGCCCTAGAAAATGCTACAGTTGATTCTTCATTAACTATAATTAGTACTAAATGCCTACTTTTCCTCCAAGACTTGGTGAATTTCTGCAGTATTCTCCAAGTCTAAGGGTTTATACTTTCAGAGGCCAAAGCCTGCAGAGGACAAGCTCAGAGATCTGGCTGGAAACTGCATTCCTTCATGAGTTTCTTGCCTTTCCTCAGCCTCTTAAACTTGTCCTTTTTGGGAGAAGAAAGTGAAAATACTTTTAATCATGAAAAGAGATTTAATGCCTTGGGAAGTGTCTTAAGAGTGAAGTAAGAATATTACAGTTTTTCTGTTACTCAAAACTGTCATACACAAAAGAATACTTTTAAACTATGCTGCTTAGGCCTCTTGGGTTCAAGAATTGGACAAAATGACATACTACCCTTTGCTGATATTTAAAAGTAGTAATGAAGGCATCGTCTCTTCTCAGTACTTCATTGAACCACTCTTAAGGGACAATGTTTTTTAAATATTTCTGTTACTCTAGGCTATTGTGAGAATAATTTTTTGTATCAGTCTGAATTAATATATTCAAGTAATTTTCTTCCTATTCACTCAACAGACAATTGCAACAGTACTGAAATTAAACAAAGTTGTTGGGAAGAGCAACCATCTGGTGATGCTGTAGCATCTGAACTGTTGCATTGCTGGCTTTACCTTCAAGTTCTGTACTTTGTCATGGGCTAACTAGGCTGTACTGAAACTGTGGTTTAAGTCCAGTTAAAGGCTCAGGTGCAAATTAGACTTAGAGAAAGAATGCGCTCTGTTTCTGGCAAACCCCAGCACTGTAAATCATTGCTGTAGCTGTACTTTGGGTGTAATTGCCACAGGCCTTGATACCTGAACTTGTTAATGCTGCATGAGAGGTTGGTATGCCTTTGTCTCAAAATTGTCATGATTTCACAGTGCTACAAGTTAGTCAGTATGTGATTGCTGAAGCTGTCATATGGTGTACTTTTCCTCCCTGAATCAGCTGATGTTTTTTTCAGAAGGTTTCTGTCTCCTTTCTTTTTGTTTCTGCCTCTTACATGTGAGCTCTTAAAATAGTTTTACTAAACAAATATGTTGTACTCTTGGCCACCTGTGTGTTCTCTATATGCAGTCCAGCTTACTAGGTAGGTGTTAATAGGGCAGTTGCACAGTATCTGTTTGAACCATACATTCAGCCAGTCAGGCTTTTATTTCTCATATTATGGGATTTTATGTCTGATCACAGAACCACAAAATGACTGAGGTTGACCGGGACCTCTGGAGGTCATCTTGTCCACCATCTCCCCCTGCTTAAGCAGGGCCACCTACAGCCAGTTGCCCAGGACCATGTCCAGATGGCTTTTGAGTATCTTCAAGGATGGAGATTCCACAGCCTCTTTGGACAACCTGTGCCAGTGCTTGGCCACCCTCACAGTGAAAAAGTGTTTCCTGATGTTCAGAGGGAACATCCTGTGTTTCAGTTTGTGCCCATTGCCTCTGGTCCCGTCACTGGGCACCACTGAGAAGAGCCTGGCTCCATCTTCTTTGCACCCTTCCTTCAGATACGTATGTGTGTATGTGTGTGTGTATATGTGTATATATATATATATACACACACATACATACACATTTTTATATCTATAGGTCCTTTTCTGCCAAGCTGCTTTCTATCTGGTTAGGCCCCTGCTTGTGTGGTGCCTGTAGTTGTTCCTACCCAAGTGCAGGACTTTGCACTTCCCCTTGTTGAACTTCATGAGGTTCCTGTTAGCCCATTTCTTCAGCCTGTGACCATGTGGAATAAGTGTTGTTCTGAAGGTTGATCCTGCACGTGAAAAGTTAACAAGGATGTATTAAGTGGCTTGTTGGCTGTGATCAAAAGAGAGATCATAAAGGTAGATCTTTGTGATCCTAGATGTTGAGGCCAATTCTGTTCTTGTAGGACAGCTCTCTGCTTCTCAAATCAGTTGGACAGTGTCACTGCGTAGTTCAAAGCTTGCAAACTGGAGCATAACTTAGCAACAATGTCAGTTGGGCAATTGTATTCATTGTTTGGCTAGTAGCTTGTCCAAGACAGTAGTGGATTTTTTGCATGGGAGACAATCTGTTGCATGGGTAGTTGTCAACATAAAACAGCTTTTGAAGCATTGCTGCCCTGTATGTTTGCATTTGTGAGTATTAACTTCATGTGCTGGATTTGGACTTAAGTATAAGAGGGCATGAATGTTCTTTCCCTACATCCAAGCAACAGCAAGAATTAGGTGGTAGGGTGCAGGTATAGTTGCACAGTCTTGAGTAAGGCTTCCTCTTTGTTGCTCTTGCCATCAAGAAGAGGGTTCAGCAGCACACAAGTACAGGTGCAATTTCAGGTGATTGTTTCTTCTTAAGAGGTGATGCCTTTATGCTAATATAGCTGCATAGCTATGCCTCTGTGTATCACAGTTGTGAAGCAGTAAG